AGCAGCTTGACAAGAGGAATATGACATTTGAAGCCCATGTCCAGGACCCGTCTGTGTGTGCTGGCTCTTGATGCAGTAACTCCAGCTTCAGTCCACTCCTTGTGAAGCTCCCCCACACATTTGAATGACCTTTTCCTGACAATCCTCTCCAGGCTATGGTCATCCCTGCTTCTTGTGCACCTTTTTCTTCCACACTTTTCCTTTCCACTTAACTTTCTATTAATGTGCCTTGATACAGCACTTTGAGAACATCCAACTTCTTTTGCAATTAATTAATTAATTAAAAAATTAATTAATTTTGAGGCTTTCCCTCCTTGTGGAGGGTGTCAGTGATGATTTTCTGCACAACTGTCAGGTCAGCAGTCTTCCCCGTGATTGTGAATCCCACTGAACCAGACTGAGAGACCAATTAAAGGCTCAGGAACCCTTTGCAGGTGTTTTGGATTAATTAGCTGGTTAGAGTGTGACACTTTGAGCCTACAATACTGAACCTTTTCACGATATTCTAATTTTCTGAGATGTTTGGGGTTTTCATAAGCTGTAAGCCATAATCATCGAAATTATACCAAATAAAGGCTTGAAATATCTCACTTTGCATGTAATGAGCCTATATAATATATTAGTTTCACATTTTAAGTTGAATTACTGAAATAAATGAACTTTTGCACGATATGCTAATTTTTCGAGTTTCACCCGTACTTTATTAAATATACCCTCCTGTGTTTTCCCATGCGTTGCTTCCTGTGTTAGTGATCAGTTTCATGTGTCTTTGTCTAGCTTTGTTACTGTTGTGTCTGATTAGTTCCTTGTATCTTTCACCTGTTCACTCCCTCCCTGCTTGTTTGCTTTGTCTGTACAGGTGCTGGTCATATAATTAGAATATCATCAAAAAGTTGATTTATTTCAGTAATTCCATTCAAAAGTGAAACTTGTATAATGTATACATTCATTCCACACAGACTGATATATTTCAAGTGTTCATTCCTTTTAATTTTGATGATTATAACTGACAACTAATGAAAACCCAAAATCAGTATCTCAGAAAATTAGAATATTGTGAAAAGGTTCAATATTGAAGACACCTGGTGCCACACTCTAATCAGCTAATTAACTATAATACTCTAATACATTTTGACTCCTGTGCATGATTGTGTAAAAACTACAGTTAGCGCACTCATGTTATTTTAGCATTGTTACCAAAACTTGAAGTTTGCTAATTAGCTAGTTAGGTAGCTAAGCTAACAAGCAAAAGTTATATACCCATACCTGCTAATTATTGTAACACATAAATAAAATACTAGAATTTCACTCACCAACAGGAGCACCGGCTTCCTGGATGGTCTCTCTCTGCAATAAACTGCACAGCCTGCCATTATTCTTCTGGTATCACCATGAAGAAGAGCTACAGAGCTCCTTAACTAGCTGAGTGAGGTGGCAGATGGCAGGAGGATTGCTAGCAGTGTCAGCAGCCTCGGCTCAATCAAAGCGGCCACGCCCCTAATAATGCAGAATTTTAAGGCCATATTATCTGCCATGGGAAATTCCACATGCCATCGTCGTGGCTGTTTACATTCTGCCCTCTGCCAACTCGACGTTGGCGTGTAACATCACCCACACCGCCATTGCTGAACTCCAGACTCAACACCCGAGTGATCTCGGGTGACTTCAACCATGTCATCATGACCACCACACTAACCAACTTCACCCAGTATGTGAGCTGCCATACTAGAGAGGAGAGGAACCTAGACCTACTGTATGCTAACGTTAAGGATGCATACAGCTCTTCCCCCCTCCCCCCACTGGGCAGGTCAGACCACAGCCTGGTTCATATCAATCCCTGCTATGTGCCTCTGGTGAAAAGGCAGCCTGCGACCACAAGGACGGTGAAGAGATGGTCGGAGGAGGCTGTTTTGAGGTGACAGACTGGGATGCACTCTGTGAGCCACATGGAGAGGACATAGATTGGCTTACTGAGTGCATCTCAGACTACATCAACTTCTGTGTGGACTGCACTGTCCCAGCAAAGACTGTCCATTGTTACCCAAACAACAAACCGTGGGTAACAAAGGATCATCAAGGACATCCTGAATGCTAAGAGGAGGGCTTTCAGAGACGGGAATAGGGAGGAGGTGAGGGCCATTCAGGGGGACCTGAAGGTGAAGATCAGGGAGGCTAAGGAGAAGTACAGGAGGAAGCTGGAGCGTAAACTCCAGCAGAACAACATGAGGGAGGTCTGGAGTGGCATGAGGAACATCACTGGCTTCAGATCGACTGGCAGCGGAGGAGTTGAAGGCAGCTTGGACAGGGCCAATGAACTTAATCTGTTCTATAACAGATTTGATACTATGGCTCCTGCCCAACACCCCACTAACTCAGCTGCTGTCTGCCCTCAAACACCTTAAACACCTCCAACTCCACTACTCCCCCTCCTCCTCCTCACTGTCCCCCACCCTCCTGAGAGACCCCAACCCCCCCCCTCCTCCGGCTCTCAGGTTAACAGCTTTCTCCAGCCTGACGACTCCTCCTCTCCGCCTACCCCAACTGTGACCTCTGTGTGCCTCACTGCTGACCAGGTGAGAAGACAACTGAGAAGACTCCACTCCAACAAGGCTGCAGGCCCTGATGGTGTCCGTCCCAGGGTGCTCAAAGCCTGTGCCCCCCAGCTATGTGGAGTCCTTCACCATGTCTTCAAACTGAGCCTGAGTCTCCAAAGGGTCCCTGTGCTGTTGAAGACATCTTGCCTCGTTCCTGTGCCAAAGACGTCACGTCCTAATAGCTCCAAGGACTACAGACCTGTGGCACTGACCTCCCACATTATGAAGACCCTGGAGAGACTGGTTCTAGATCAGCTGCAGCCCATGGTCAGCAATCTTCTGGACCCCCTCCAGTTCACCTACCAGCCCCGACTGGGAGTTGAGGACGCCATCATCTTCCTGCTCAACCGCACCTACGCCCACCTGGACAAGCCGGCAAGCACTGTGAGGGTCATGTTTTTTGACTTCTCCAGTGCTTTCAACACCACTGCTGGGTGACAAGCTGACAGGTGGATGCCCCCCTCGTGTCCTGGATTGTTGCCCCTGCAGCACTGTGTGTCAGACAGCGTGGTCAGCAACACCAGGGCCACGCAGGGGACGGTGCTCTCTCCCTTCCTCTTCACCATCTACACCACAGACTTCAGCTACCACACAGAGTCCTGTCATCTTCAGAAGTTTTCTGACGACTCTGCTGTGGTTGGATGTGTCAGCAAGGGTGACAAGGCGCCACAGGAAGTCATTCCTGCTTGTGGCCATCAAACTTTAACTTTAACTCCTCCCTCTAAGTGTCTGACACACGGATACTAAGTTTTTAAAATGGATTGTATTATCTTTTTTTGTGCAATATTATCTGTTTAATTATTAATGTGCAATATTCTCTGTTGCTATTTATTCACTAGTCCTTTTTGGTTCACCATAATAACTCTTAATAATGGAAATATTGTACATACCCACAATCCTTTGTCTTTATATTTTATATTTATTATACTCTTATATACTCTTTATCTATCTACCTTTGACAAGTATGCAATTGTGACAAAAGAATTTCCCCTCGGGGATCAATAAAGTATTTCTGATTTCTGATTAATATAATTTTAACAGGTGAGTTAAAAAGTAAAAAATGTCACCCCCCTCACAGTTGTCATGAAGGGCAAAATTAGCAATATACACAAAAACCATCTTTTGTAACAGGTTTTAAATATGATTTTTATTGCATTTTAACATTGGGGTCTATGGAGATAGACTCCTTTCTGGAGCCAGGCTCAAGTGGCCACTCGATGAATTGCAGTTTTAGGGACTACCGGGTTGGCTTCACCCAGGAGAACAGATGGTTGCCACTTGGTAGCAACCAAGCAATGATCGTTAGCTTACCGTGTTTACAAGTTGGTGACAAATACTGTGCAAGGCGAACTTGTAAAACTTTATATCTACACTCACTGGCCACTTTATTAGGTACAACTTGATAGAACAGGGTTGGACCTCCTTTTGCCTTCAGACCTGCCTTAATTCTTCAAAAGGTGTTGGAAACATTCCTCAGAGACTTTGGTCCATATTGACATGATAGCACCCCGCAGTTGCTGCAGATTTGTCAGCTGCACATCCATGATGAGAATCTCCCATTCCACCACATCCCAAAAGTGCTCTATTGGATTGAGATCTGGTGGCTGTGGAGGCCATTGGAGTACAGTGAACTAATTGACATGTGAAGAAACCAATTTGAGATGATTTGAGCTTTGTGACATGGTGCATTATGCTGCTGGAAGTAGCCATCAGAAGATGGGTACACTGTGGTCATAAAGGGATGGACGTGGTCAGCAACAATACTCAGGTAGGCTGTCGTGTTTAAATGATGCTCAGTTGGTACAATGGGGCCCAAAGTGAGCCAAGAAAATATCCTGCACACCATTACACTACCACCACCAGCCTGAACCATTGATACAAGGCAGCATGGATCCATGCTTTCATGTTGTTTTCTGTGCAGATTGATCTCTTTCATTGTTATTTTTTAGGATTTTATTATTACTGGTGCACTGGCCTAAGTAGCAACTAATTTTAACTACTTTATATAGTTTGTTATATGTTTTTTATGTAAAATCTTAATCTGTAAAGTAATCGGTAACTGTATCTGTCAGATTAATGTAGAAGTAGTAAGAAGTACAACGTTGCCCTCTGAGGAATAAAGCAGCAGAAAATGGAAACTCTCAAGTGAAGTACAAGTACCTCAAAATTGTCCTTCACGTCACTGATTACAATAATAGACTGCTAATAATTTCAGTTTCTTCATCAAAATGACTAACAGCCAACATACATGTTAAAACCCATTTTTACACTTTACACTTGTTAAAGCACTTTGTAACTTGTTTTTGAAAAGTGCTCTACAAATAAGGATTATTATTATTATTATTATTTTTGGGGAAGCCTGACCAGTGACTAGGAAGGTGATAGAAGAGAGACTCAGAGACAACGTCAAAGACTAAAAAAGTGATTTATTTACACCATGCAACCATGAGACACATGTAACTCCACAAGTTGCAAAGAAAACAACAACCACCTTAATAGTTAACTTGGCTGAAGTGAGGAATATGGAACACAAATCAAACTTAATACAACATCATATGCACACATCTTCCCTCTTTACTGACAAACAAAAACTCCCTTAAATATGTTCTACTATCTACAAAATAACCTGTCTCAACTAAACCACAGGGGTGGTTCCTTGTATCAATTAACATCAGTACAAGTAAGCCTTCAAGAATTAGCTGAACCTAAATAGATGTAGTCACACTGTGTTTATAATTCAAAAATAACCAAATATGATTTGACCGAACAGTCCCCTTGTGTTTCCAAAATCTCAGGTTTTCAGAATATAGCTGTTTTTGCAAGATGACAATGCATTTTTGTCACTATGTTAAAGGGTTTTGAGGGGTCAAACATGATCAGCTCACACACGTGCATGTAACATTGGATGACTTTAATTCACAGATCCTGTCATATTAAAACACAAATCTATTTTACACAGCTCAGTTAGCAGCTAAGAAAAAATAAACATGACATGAATGTAGTGTAGTGGAGGGAAATTCAAAGTTAAAAATCTAGTCAGGACGTACAGAGCAGAGCTGCGTTAAAAACTTTAAGCGGCTGTTTAACATCTGGGTCTAGTTGGGATAAATTTGTAAAAAAGAAATAATCATTTATGCATGTCTCGGTCTACACCTAATGATGATTTAGTTGAATATTTTAAATAAAGTATACCTCTGAAAGTCAAGTACTAGCACATAAATGAATGTAACAAACCCCCCCACTACCACCACCTTTGCCGATGAATGTTCCTCAGACACAGCGCTTTTCAAATATGTCATCATGACAACAGTGTGCAGGTTTTCATTCCAAACAACAGACAAGAAGCAATCCTGTTAAACCAGCTGCTCTTGTGGTGGACTAGAATAAAAACAGGCGCTTAGTCGTCCCTCACACTACACTAAAAACTACTGTTCTAAACTAGTTCAGAGTCAGAATACAGGAAAGGGTTAGAAGCTGTGCCCCGCTGCAGAGGCTGCCTGCAAAGGTGTTTCCTTCAGAGGACTAAAACTACATGAGCAGTACTTGGCCTCACAGAGACCACCTTTCAGTGTTGAGTTGTTGGCAGACAAAGTAAATGTGTTCAAATAAATCTGTATAATTTCCATTTCTCTGATAATAAATAGAAACACAAAACTGAACCGTGGATCTTGAGGTTCTACAAATGTAAACAGGGGACAGCCTTATTTACCTATGATGATAAACTGACAGGAGGTAGCCTCTGGAATGGGACACAGCTAAAGGAAATGTTTTATGATGAAGAACTTTTGAACGTAGCTAAAAAGAGACACTTAGCTACATCTTCCCATGACACTGACATGTTGCTTGTGTTTAAACGGCTGACACACAGAGAGCAGTGTTTCCATGTTCAGACAGAAAGGAGAAGATCAGACAGGTTACAGGTCTGGTATGCTTGTACGGTTTCTGTATGTTCCTGAGTAAATGCAACCTTGGAGTGAGAGAGGGCAGAATTTAAAAAAAACATAATTCGTGTCATTTGAATTGAATTTGAGGATGCAACATAGAGCTTTCTCCTCCTCTTTCCTCTCCTCTCAAGGTCTAGAAGACGTTTTCAGGTCAACACAAAACAAGAGAACAACCATACACAAAGCTCACTTCTTTCACTGTGGGACCACAGCTGTGTTTCACCCAAATGTGCTGATCCCAAGTCGGCAATGAGCTGTTTACTGCTGCAAATTGTAGCTAACCTTGGTAATTTATAGACCTTGGCAGGACATCAGCATTTTGGAAGGTAGAGTCAGGTGTAAGGGGTCAAAGGTCAGACGTAGAAAAGTCGTACCCTGGAGGTACTGACATGGAGGTCATCATCGTAGAACTTGGTCTCTATGATCACATTACCACTGCAATACAAAGACACGTGTCAGCTTTAACTGAGCTACCAAATCTCTCAGACAATTTCACTACTATCACTGCCGTAAAAAAGTATGTACAGTATATAACATTACAATGAATCTATGAATTTTTACTGATTGTTGATTTCAAGAATCAACAAAGTTAAAGGAAGAGTTCAGTTGATTACAACTTGGCTCTTAATTCTTTTCATTCCTGTCAATTTTAAAACACATTATCTAATCAACTTCATTTCAATGTCAAACTTAAACTGAGGGCACCTATAACCTTTAACTAACATGTAATCTTGTTTGTCTCACTGTATGTTGGTTAGTTATAACTGGGTTTGATTAAAATTGAATCACAGCTATATACGATAAAATTGTAGAGATGAGACATTAGATATAGGCTATTGTATGTGTCAGAAGTACAGGAACATAAAACAGAGAAATGAAGATCATTTGTGGAGACTCACGTTAAAACATTGGCTGGCATCATCTGGGATTCTGGAGCTGCTTCTATTAGAGACTGCCATGTGTTGGTGGAGTTGGGGATAACAAAACCAAACTCAAAGAACCATTCTGCACAGAGAAACACAGACAGACAAAGAGCACAGCGCTGCCTTAATAACACAAAACATCATTATTATGTGGCTTAATATAGTGTGTGAGTGTACCACAATGGTCCAAATACTGTTCCAGATAGTTTTTCCCTCTCTGGTGGAAACCAGCAACATAAACATGTTGTGTTGGATTCAATTGTGTGCTGCCTCTTGGGGCTCTCTGTAACCTCGCCTCTGTACAGCAGGGACAGCACTCCAAACACACAGTAACGAAGAAGTGACAACACTGACAACTACAAAAGATCACAACTATGTGAGCTGTCTGTTGGCTATTGGAGCCAATAGTCCTGTACTTTTCTAACCCTCCCATAATAACTTGGCGCCAGTGTGCTTTAAAACATTACCAGTAAGGTGGGGCAGAGGTTTGAAGATCTAAGGGTAATAACGCAACTGCTCTATCTTATGACACATTTTAGGGAACCAAGCACTCTATCACTAACATCATTTTGACCCAACATCACTGTGAATGGAACTCTCTTTCCACACAAGTTTGGCTTACGGGATACAATCATTTCCTAGGTTCATCTTGTACGGTTTCTGTCTGTACTAAATAAATCAAATTTGATTATTTTCCTCTCTTTTCTTTTACCTGCCTGACTGTTGTCAGTGTTTGTTTATTCACTGTGATTTTCATGGCTGATGTCATCTGACTGCAATTTCCAATGAAGATTGATTAAAGGTTCAGTGTGTAGGTTTTAGTGGCATCTGGTGGTAAGGGTTGTGAATCTACTTTATTAAAGGTGTCCTGATGAGTTTTCTCTTAAAACAAACAATAGTCATGTTTCCATTCAGTGTTTCTCATCAAAACACACTGTGTGGATCCTTGAGGTCTATCAAATATGTTAAATGGATAAACCACATGCCTTTGGTGTGAGAGCACCGGGTTCAATCTACTATTGTGTCCCTGAGCAAGACACTTAACCCCTACTTGCTCCAGAGGCGTGCGACCTCTGACATATACAACAATTGTTAGTCGCTTTGGATAAAAAGCGTCAGGCTAAATGAATAAATGTAAATTTAAAGCCGGGGTTTCGACAATTTTCAAACATAGTATTTACCTCCTTGTTAACCTGCTAGTCTTTTTCTTCCCTACCTTTTGTTCTTGCATTGCTGTGTTTCTTGTCATGTTACTGTTACTACTATATCGGTGGAATGGTGTGAAACCATTAGCAGGAATGTACATCACATCACATCACCTGTGGTCATGAGAGCAAACAAAACGGGGAGCCACTCGTTAAAACAGTATTCCAAAATTCCAAAGGTTACCTGACTGACCTTCGGGATCTTGTTCCTGTTCAGTGTTTTGGTTGATTACCTTCTAGACACTGCCCTTTGAAGAAAACTTTCTGCTCCAGTCTGAACTTCTCCAGTTTCTCTGAGGAGGAAAAGTTCAGTTCTCTGGACACTGCCTTACACTTCAGGATCTTCTTTGGGACACGAGCTGGAGAGACAGTGATAAACTATAAACAATTCTGTCGAGAACAAGACCAAATTAGTTTTTAATGCGTACAATGGAGGTTCGCTGGCAGAGCTATGGATTCAAGGCTTGCAACTTTGTTCAGAGTTTTCAAAAGCAACCCATTTTGTTTGTAGGTTAGCTTTTCCCCTTTAAGCTTTGCATGTTTCCATTGAACTGAAAGTGTCTGACACTTGTTGACTACCACATGCTGAAAGAGGCCTTTGATTATATACACGCACATTACAAATGCTAGCCCTATTTAAACATTGAAACTTTTTCAAGGCATTCTCTAACCAAATGCTTAAAATCTGTAGAAATTATCATTACCTTCATTATTAAAAGACAGCCACCTCACATCCTAAAAACCCGTCACTGTATTTTTGAACACAATTTTCTCTCAGAGAGCCTGTTAATTGACTTCTCATTGCCAACTAGGGACCACTGCATTGTTCTGTACATTATGATTTGTTTATTAATTTATAATCATGAAGTGAAAATGCTGACATCCAGCAACCCCAGTGATGTCTGCACAGATGTTTAGAGAACTTTTTGTTAACAATATGTAAAATGATTTGTCTAATTAAACTAACTATATTGAGAATTTGTATTCTCCTTTAAACCTGCTATATAAACCTTTTTTATGTACATAAATAGTTTAATGTTAATAATTAAAGTCATTATTCCAAGCAGTTAAAAGATAAAAGCAACAGCAACACCTTCTAGGTGAGATATGGCATGGTTCATTTCACAGATTTAATGCTAAAACAGGGTTTCTGCAGGTTTCACCTAGTCAAATTTAAGACTTTTTAAAACCTTTTTAAGACGACTATGAATGAAATTTAACACCAATATCACAACATCCAAAAAAAGAAAAGGAAATGCACAAAATGTCACAAAATTATGTATTCAAATTAGGGTTGAGTGATGTCTACAAAATTGGCATTGGATGATTTCAACAATAAAACACCAGGATGGACAATGACATTGACAGGCGGAGAAAGTGTTTTTGCAGTGAGACCAGAGGTAAAGGTGTGAGTGTGTGCAGAGAGAAGTTGAGGCAGGTGCAAAGCAGGTACATGTACAAATAATAATAAAAATAATGTCCATGGGGGTTAAAACATGATTTCACAGGGTGGTATAATGTAAAAAAAATAAGATTGTATTTTGGAAGATGGATTATGTTTTCCAATAAAGAAATATGTAACTCCACATAATTTTGGAACATTGTTATTATCTGTCTGTATATCTGTGAATAATAAGTTTGAAAATCTAGAGCAGATTTTGAATTAACTACACCCCAAAAGCTAAACTTGCAAAAGAAGTCTACTAGGTTTGAATTATAACCGTTAGATCTGGGAAAATTCATGTGATTAATTTTGATTCTCTCCACAATGATTTTACACTAATGGCGCAGCACTAAGCAGTTTTGATGTAAAAATTAACATAAAAGGCAACATGAGAACTACCTCCTTTCTGTATAATTACAAGCATTTCATTTGTACATTAAATCCAAAAGAATTACCTCATTAGCTTGGAAGGCTAATGAGATAATTCGGCATCCATATGGGACAGGCCTTTAATTCCTTTCCCAGAAAACTGAAATAGGCTACTATGAAACAGTTTATTTATTTGAAACAGTATGAATATTACTTGTTTAAAAATTATCAAATAATATCAAAGATGCATCATTCATTTGATCTAGCTCTAACCGATCTAACGACGTGTAGCATGTGCATACTGACATATTGATCATACGTTTAAACATTTATATTTGTATTAACAATCTAAGCAGCTTAGAAGCAGCTAAAGTGTGAGACCCAGCGGGGTTTAAGAGGTTTTATACATCCAAAGAACTTCTATAAAAACCAGACCAGGCGTCTAATCGAGACCTGCGTTTATTTGTCAAAACAGAGTAGGCGGCTATTTGGGACTCAGCTATCAATTGAAGTTTTACAGTACTTCCCTTCATAATCGGAAGATGTCCAGAAGTGCCATCAGCTCAGAACCGCAGACAACAGTCTGTCTGGAGAAGTCTGATCAGAAGTGGCAAAAAGCTTCCGACATGGAAATGAGGCCAAGCGACTCAACTATGCATAAAACCACCGGAACTGGCAGCAGAAAATGGCAGCAGGTGCTATGGACTGATGGATCAGAATGTGCAATATTTGTCTGCAGCAGAAGGCAGTATGTTCACTGAAGGGCTGGAGAGCAGTACAAGAAGGAGTCCTGGAAATTATGGTATGGCCCCCACAGAGCCCTGATCTCAAAATCTTTCATTCTGGGATTCTGGTTGAAGTAAAAAAATTATGAATGATAAGAAGCATCTTTGTTTTCACTTCTAAATAATTGTGGTAAATTGGTCCATATAAAACCTGTATGATGGCTTGTATGGTTGCCCACATCCACAGATCTCAGCAATGTACAGTGCCTTGCGAAAGTATTCGGACCCCTTGAACTTTTCGACCTTTTGCCACATTGCAGGCTTCAAACATAAAGATATAAAACTGTAATTTTTTGTGAAGAACCAACAACAAGTGGGACACAATCATGAAGTGGAATGAAATTTATTGGATATTTCAAACTTTAACAAATAAAAAACTGAAATTGGGCGTGCAAAATTATTCAGCCCCCTTAAGTTAATACTTTGTAGCGCCACCTTTTGTTGCGATTACAGCTGTAAGTCGCTTGGGGTACGTCTCTATCAGTTTTGCACATCGAGAGACTGAAATTTTTGCCCATTCCTCCTTGCAAAACAGCTCGAGCTCAGTGAGGTTGGATGGAGAGCGTTTGTGAACAGCAGTTTTCAGTTCTTTCCACAGATTCTCGATTGGATTCAGGTCTGGACTTTGACTTGGCCATTCTAACACCTGGATATGTTTATTTGTGAACCATTCCAGTGTAGATTTTGCTTTATGTTTTGGATCATTGTCTTGTTGGAAGACAAATCTCCGTCCCAGTCTCAGGTCTTTTGCAGACTCCATCAGGTTTTCTTCCAGAATGGACCTGTATTTGGCTCCATCCATCTTCCCATCAATTTTAACCATCTTCCCTGTCCCTGCTGAAGAAAAGCAGGCCCAAACCATGATGCTGCCACCACCATGTTTGACAGTGGGGATGGTGTGTTCAGGGTGATGAGCTGTGTTGCCTTTACGCCAAACATAACGTTTTGCATTGTTGCCAAAAAGTTCGATTTTGGTTTCATCTGACCAGAGCACCTTCTTCCACATGTTTGGTGTGTCTCCCAGGTGGGAGACACACCAAACTTTGTGGCAAACTTTAAACGAGACTTTTTATGGATATCTTTAAGGAATGGCTTTCTTCTTGCCACTCTTCCATAAAGGCCAGATTTGTGCAGTATACGACTGATTGTTGTCCTATGGACAGAGTCTCCCACCTCAGCTGTAGATCTCTGCAGTTCATCCAGAGTGATCATGGGCCTCTTGGCTGCATCTCTGATTAGTCTTCTCCTTGTATGAGCTGAAAGTTTAGAGGGACGGCTGGGTCTTCGTAGATTTGCAGTGGTCTGATCCTCCTTCCATTTCAATATTATCGCTTGCTCAGTGCTCCTTGGGATGTTTAAAGCTTGGGAAATCTTTTTGTATCCAAATTCGGCTTTAAACGTCTCCACAACAGTATCTCGGACCTGCCTGGTGTGTTCCTTGTTCTTCATGATGCTCTCTGCACTTTAAACGGACCTCTGAGACTATCACAGAGCAGGTGCATTTATACGGAGACTTGATTTGACACAGGTGGATTCTATTTATCATCATTAGTCATTTAGGTCAACATTGGATCATTCAGAGATCCTCACTGAACTTCTGGAGAGAGTTTGCTGCACTGAAAGTAAAGGGGCTGAATAATTTTGCACGCCCAATTTTTCAGTTTTTTATTTGTTAAAAAGGTTTGAAATATCCAATAAATTTCGTTCCACTTCATAATTGTGTCCCACTTGTTGTTGATTCTTCACAAAAAATTACAGTTTTATATCTTTATGTTTGAAGCCTGAAATCTGGCAAAAGGTCGAAAAGTTCAAGGGGGCCGAATACTTTTGCAAGGCACTGTAGCTGATGGGAAAATGTTATCTGATGGCCAAAACTCAAAAAAACATTCAAGCTGGAAAAAATGGTCAACAAAGTGAAAGATTTTAACAGAATGTTCTGCTATGATACATGTGGGTCTAATTATGTCTGGTGTGTGAATGTACCTTCATGTTCTACTCCCGGTACAGAGAGGTCCTCAGTTCCTTGCCACAGCACCTTGCCCGTCTCTGCATCTCGAAGATTCATCCAGTTTCTAACAGGAAAAGGTTAAGGTACAACAACCAAACTAGAGAATATCCAAAATGAACTGAATTGAAATAGCCATGGAATAATTTAAACACTAAAGGAATACCAGCCTGATCTGCCTTAAACACAGTTGTAACAATCTTTGAACAACATCTACTACCACTCATGTGTTATCAACCTGAAGAATCCATCAGTTAACATTAAACCGTCTCATTTCACCATATCCACTGTGGAAAGTTGATTTATTATTATTTCTATGAAATGTTCTATTCAGCTATCAACCCTTGAGCAAAACAATAGGATATGTAGTGAAAACGCATTCCAAACAACTCTTTACTGCACTTTTCACATTTTATAAACAACTAAGATAGAACAGTAACAAAATTAAAACATTTTACATTTAAAAAACTAAAAACAATTTTAAAAAATTATTGTAGACTGGGAGCCAGAGCGTTCAGCTATCAAGCTCCTCTCCTGTGGAACCAGGTTCCAGTTTGGGTTCAGGAGGCAGACACCATCTCCACATTTAAGAGTAGGCTTAAGACTTTCCTCTTTGATAAAGCTTATAGTTAGGGCTGGCTCAGGTAGTCCTGAACCATCCCTTAGTTATGCTGCTATAGGCCTAGACTGCCGGGGGATTTCCTATGATGCACTGAGCTCCTCTCTCCTCTACTTTCTCTCCCTCTGTATGCAACCTCATCCCATTATTGCATGTTACTAACACAACTTCTCCCCTTTCTGGTAGTCTTGTGCTTTCTCGTCCCTCTCCTCTCTCCTCCTATCACTTCCTGCAGGTTTTCTGGCTCTGGAGCTGTGGAGTCTGGATCTGTGGCTGCGGGTCACCTGCTGCCCCCGTGTTCCTGCTCGACACCCTCTGCTACAACGACTATTGCTACTAGTCCTTTCGTTATTATTGTTAATTATTACCATCATCATCATTACTATGACGATTATAATCATAAACATTACTGTATATATCTGGACCATTTTTCATTTAGTCTATAGCAACATTATGTTTACTGTCTGTACCTCTGTGTGTATATTGTGTAGTCCCCCACCTTCCCCCTTCCCCCCTTCTCCCCCTTCCCCCCCTTCTCCCCCTTCTCCCCCTTCTCCTGAATGCCTAAAGGTCTGCAAACAAGGCTAACCAGGCACTAGTATTTGCCTTAGACACCCATAAGCACAACATTGTTCGGAAGGTCAGCAAATATCAAGCTTTAGAAACACATAATAGTCAAAATGCATCCGAGAATGAATGAAAAGAAATACTGCTAGCTTATAGGTAACCTAAAGACAACAGTGTCTAAGTGAGAAGCTTTTGTGTAGGTGATGCTCGCCGCTAGCTGTCCCGTCAGTCTGTCAGTTGGTCAGCTGTTCCTGACCTACGCACACATTAAACACAATAAAGCTGTCAATCACAGAGCCTGTAAGGACTTAAGGCTCGTGCAGACTACAGGACTTTCAGCATCGGCCGACGGCCGTGCCGTTCACACTACACTACTTTCCGTCTTGTGATGGGAGTCTTGAAGTCGTTGTGGCACACTACGTGACTGATCGGTGGGTCAGGGGGTCACACACACACACTACATGAGCTGACAGCGACTCTGTCACCCAACACTGGTCTCCAAACCACGTTTTTTTAAGAAAACACGTGAAATGTGAAACGGGAAATGACACGAACCTAGAGACACAACAGCTGTTGTTTGTTATTATAAAGATAGCAATTACAAAGACTGCCTGCTCTCATTAGCTGGATGTGGATGTCGAGTGGGCCTACTCCTCCAGATAGTTGACATGCTAGATATCTGGCAGACGTTGGTGGTGTCAGAAATGTGTCAGGGAGCCGTTGTGATGCATTGTTGAGTAGTTTACACGTAACGACCGCCGATCAACCACTGATTTACTCCCGACCACAGCATGACGGTCGCCGAGCTCGCCGAGGCTAAAAATCGTGTAGTGTGAACTAGGCTTTAGTCAGTGAATCTACTGTACATTACATCTTCCCTGTGTCTTGACAATCATTAACAACACACCTTCGGTCATAGTTCCTAAAAGTGTGTGGGGGCACCAATGCATTGGAAGGCAAACAATTCTTTAACTGTGGAGCCCAGGAAAGGAAACTGGCCAAAATACACTGTGTAGAATTTAAGGAATGACTCTGTTAAGGCAAATAAGAAAGATGATGACTTCAACTGACCACTTAACATGATTTACCCTGGTGTGTAATGTACTTCACTCCACGGAGAGTTGGAGGCTGCAGGGAAGAAGGAGTCATTATTATATGACAACCTGAGAATACTGGATAAGTATTCTCAGGTTTTTATCCTGTGCGATGCCAGATCAATTCATTTTTCAGTCTTTTAGGCTAATATTCATTTTCATAACATAGTCATTACATTTTCTCCAAACTAAATATCCTATGTTATTGTTTTGAAGTTTGGACCCACTTATAATTCAAAAATTGGCTAGGGATAAAATGTCATGCCTGTTTGGCACTACTTTCATCCTTTGTTTTTAAAGATTCTCCACTCAGCATCCTGTCACACTCAGGTACTACTTAGTGTCACACACACACACTTGACTCTACACCATCTGTGAGGTCCTTTATCCCACCTCAAATCCACCATCAACTGCCTAAAACACACAGCTTCTAAAGCTCCAGGATTCTGACCTACCATGTTATATGAATGAGGAGAATTACTATCACACACACAGTAAACTGAAAGGACACAATTTCTTTTGCGCATCAGCTTTCATCTTTGCAACAGAAGATCATATTGTTGAATTTTGCATAAATCATAAATCCAGCTGGTCAGGATGTTGAATAGAATAGAAAATAATAGAAAACTTGTACAACGAAAATGTCAAAGTGCTGACCAGCCAGTGCACTGCACAACTATTTTGGATTTTTTCAAGACTAAAAGTAAAAGATATGCAAGATACTGGCATAAAAAGTAAACAGAAAAATTATTCCAACAAACTTCTTCCAAGATTTCCAGCATATGTGGCTTGTTGTGAATAGAAAAGAGTAAATATTGACTGACATTAGAATCCCAGCCCAGCTCTGCTCATCAGCATTTTGATTTGTTTTACATTTTTGTTTTTTCGAAGTCTAGTCTTACCTTAATACATGTCTCGAAAAAAAATTGTATTTAATGTTTTGTTGCAAACACTTAAGACCATTAATTGAATGATTTCTTTCTAATAAATTACATTTCTTAAAATGTTTGCATGAAAGCCTGCAGAGGAAGAGATAAAAGTACCAATAATCACCAATAACTATAGAGTTCGTGAAAAAACAAGGATGAAGTGATCATATTTGGACTAAACATTTTTCTCAATAAGATAAAATATATGATTCTAATCCAATTCAAAATACTCTTATAGTTCCATTATTTCAATTACAATTTCACCCTCCCAATGATCTTAACATTTAATGTCATCAAATATTAAATTCTACTTCTACAGTTGAGATTCATGAAGCAGCAAAAACTAAAATACTTTTGTGAGATTTCATGTGGAGTGCTGCCTTTTCAAAGCATATCATTTAAAATTAAATTCAAGGGAATGAAAATGATCAAATTATATCATTATTAAACACTCATCTGACATCACCTATTGGGAGCTTTAGTCCATGTCTATTAGTGCTGTACTGGCCATCAGTAACCCTTGGGTAAGATCCAACGACAGCAGAGCTCTACCCGCATAGATTTCCTAATGACAGTTACACCAACTAAAGAAGTGGGCAACTATCATCCATCATCAAAAACCATTCCCTGTGCACACCTGGTATTGTGTTTCCTTTTTGTTGATTCTCTCAAATCACTTCCTCACAAACTAAACAAAAGAAAATCTTGTACAGCAATTAAAGGAGACCCATTATACTGCATTTGCAGTAATGTAATCTTTAAACTAATCTTTTAACACCAACAACATCATGCAAGGTTGTACCACAGCCTCCTCAGGGCCTGCTGAAGGTTGTGTGTGTAAACCACTAGGGTGCCTGCACAAGTCGGTCAGAACATATACACACAGAAGTTAATGAGCCCACAGGGAAAAGCTGCTGTCACTGGTAAGTCTATTGTAGTAATGTTTGTAATGTGTAGCAACATTAACGATTTTGTAATGAACTTTGCCTTTTGCATTAAAAAGAAGGCATGCCAACTACAGAGCAAACTGAGCCCAGTCCTGCAGGAGTAAAGGGGAGTAACACAAAACATCTAATCATCACACAGTTCCACATTTCCATTTCTATATATGTATATGTTAGCAAATCAAATGGAAAGCAGTGTTGTCTGCTCAAGGAGAGTAATCATTTTTCAACAGGGGTGGAAATTAACTTATTGGCTCACTTGCTAAGGTGGCTGGTAAATGAAAAAATCCACCGGCCACACATATTTTTACCAGCCAAGATAATGAATTGCCTTTTGTGTCACATATACATTTGTTTCCTTACACTTAATTGAGATAATAAGGTATTATGTCAAATACAAACTTAAGAAGAGGCCAGAGTGAAATCTGAAGCAAAATTATATAATTGCTATTAAATGTACTTAAAACATAACAGTAACGTGTATTCTCAACTTACAAGATGCTTCTTAATCATTCAACTTAAATATCATCACTGCTCACTCTTAATCATGTTTTATCATTCAACTTAAACCTCCTCATCAGACTGCTCATTTTCTACAATCACCCTCTTCTGGCCTGGTTCTGACAGAGTCCTGGTGCCACAGCATGACAGGTTTTGTGAGATCAACATTTTTTATACAGCCTATGGATCATTCTCCTTGATCTCTGGGGAGGACAGCAGGGCCATTAAAAGATCTGACAGTGTGTCAGACACTGACTGGACCGCCAACTACCCAGCTAAAAGCTAAAAACACAAGTAACGTTACTACTTTTGTCATTAGCTCCTAAGACTAGCAGCTTTCACACTGCCTTATTTCACAGGGGTATTGCGCAAATCTGCCAGCTCACTGTACTCTATGAAAGGTACAGAACCGATTTGATCCACCTCTGAGCAGGGAAAGTTGGTGACGCATGAGACAGAAAGACGGAACAATTTCT